AAACGGCTTATGGTAAAGACATGCAGGATTCAACTGTTAAAAGCTCCGTCACGTACCAACAAAGGAAATATGACTTTTATAAACAAATGTTAAACTGCATTGATGAAGATGATGACTTCCTCAGAAAACATGTTTTTAGTGATGAAGCAACATTCATGTACATGGGTTAGTGAGAAAACACATACACGTCACAAGCACCGAGTCACAGTCCAGTATCAATGAGAATAAATGTCTTTTGTGCTCTGAATGCTTCTAAGACTCATACTCCTCAGTGACCTCAACCTCATATCTGGACATGCCACAACTGTTTCTTGACATCGAGGCAGCAGACCTCCTGCTCACTATACTTGTATTACCAACAGTAGGGAACAAAAAGTTATGAGTTTGGAGTAAACTCAAATGGCATAATGTCCATACCAAATTTCATGAAAATTTGTACAACACTTGTAAACTTGGTACATGTAGACACATAGTTGGACACACAATCAATAACTATATGCATTCATACAGTAACAGAAATCAATGCTTAAACCGTGGGTTCCTTGCAAGTTCCTTAAAATAAAAGATGGATTCATTCTATTCACTATTATAATTAATTATTTCCTTGATTAATGTTCTATCAGTTCACAAATCAGAGACTTCACTACAGATGTCAGACTTCTCAGTGTGTAGAAGTGTTCTCTTCTTACGACTCCATTGCTATCCCGCCGCATCATTTCACTCAGTCACAGAAGTACCACAATTCGCTGGCCTGTACTTCACTCAACAATCACTTCAGGACATGTAGCACACAGAACTCTGCCCACCAACTCCACGTGTCTCACTTAACTTGTCAACAAAAACTTGCCTTAAGGACCAAAGACTGTTCCAGAATAGCAAAAATGGATGGACAGTGTTGTTCCTCAATGTTTCCAGTGCTTCTAGAATTGTGTGTGCACACCTGCTTTGGCTAATGTCACCTGAGGCAGGTGGACAGCTATGAGACACACGGCCTGATGGGGGGAATAATCACACTTGACATGGTCACAAGCGTTTGCAACAAAATCATGCACATTTTGCAGATTACGTTCAAAATATTACCATTAAGCTCTGTGTTCAGCTTACTGTAACCCCCCTACACTTCAGTACTAGGTGACCTCAACATGCTTAATTTCTCCATTGTCAAATACTTTCTCTGCAGAAACTTGACACATTCTTCCTTCATATATGAGATAATGTTACAAAACTATAAAACAACTGCCAAAATTAATGTTAGACACGGGGAGGGGGAGAGAGGGGGGGGGTGTTCCGCAAGTTTAGGGTCAAAAAAGAAATTAATTATTTGGCAATATACAGAAAAATTTAAAGGTGGAAAAGCCGTTTCAAATCACACGTTCCCGATCTCAATTGCCAGAATTACTTATCTCGGAACAGGTGTTACATCGCAACACTCTCCTTACTATCAACAGCAAAAGCCATGCAACATTTGCAGCAATAACAATACATGACACGACGTGTTTCAAGAGAAGGAGAAAGCTGTAGCAAAGCAGACACAGGTATTAGAAGAAACAAAAATAGTGAACAAAACCACTGAGTTTTAACATACTCTTATGGAAACAATGCTGCAGTGCGTAAGCAAGAAGATGGACACTTAATGTAGTCACTGTACATACAAACATTTGTGATGATCCATTTGACTTGCAACATCTGCCACACTTGGCCACATGTCAATACAGCACAAGCAGCAGTCATTGTCCTCGATTGCAACAATGATTTGCGGCTGGTTACCATACACCATGGATTTAAAGTGATCCCAGAGGCAAAATCCAGTGGCGAGGTCTGGAAAACTTGGTGGGCATTCCACATGTCACCTTCAGACAATTCTAATACAGCTAAAGTACATCAGTGCTCCATCCTACTGTAACTACAATTAAGAGCATGATATGAGGCTCATTGCATCTAAGTAAGATTGCAACATCTTCCTTCTTTTTCTTCTTCTATGGTACAACAGCCCAAAGTCAAGCCTTGGCCTCCTCCCATGTGGGAGGTTTCTTAGTCTTTGAAGCGTGCATTTGTGAGTAGTGAGTGACCAGCCCACTGCCTCTGCACAATTTCTACTCAATCCTCATTTGACTGCTAGAGCCATCTAGTAGAGAATCAGGAGAGACTTGGGTGAGAAATGGCCGATGAATTTTGCTTACGAAACATCTCGTTCATGCTCGTAAGATTCTTTTGCATGCCGTAAATTTACAACAAGATGGCAACAGGGTCTCCAGAAAGTGATGGTAATAGACTTCTGTTAACTTGATAACCAGAAATATAGGACCCAAAGATATTAGTGTATGGTTACACCACACACTGATTCAGCGATTAATTTGACGGTGAGCATCAAGAACTGTACGAGTATTCTCGTCCGACCAGTACATGACACTGCATCAGTTCAATGAACCATTGAGATTAAAGCATGCTTAAATGAATAGAATATCTGCCTCCAGGGTGTTCTGCTGTTCTCATGTTTGCTGACAGCACTCACAAAATTTGACCGTCAGTATCATCACTGTATAACTCCTCCATGACGCGTATTTTGAATGGGCATAACTTTTGCCACCGAAGTACCCAGCGGAGACAACTAATGATACAATCCTCCTGTGAAGTTTCCCACATGGAACATTGGGGACTAGATGTCACTTCTGAAATGGCATCATCACTGATGGAAAAACCAGTATCGCATTGCATGCGTATTGTCTGGTGTCGATCCTGCACATTTTCAAGTCTCCTTGTACATTGCATGTGTATTGTCTGGTGTTGATCCTGCACATTTTCAAGTCTCCTTGTAGTGGATGAGAAGGCACCAATCAGGTGACGAGGTCATGGTTACCCTGGATGCCAGTGACAGTCATCTGGCGTTGCATGTAGAACCATTTTGGCCTTTTCATGCAGTGTGCACAAACTACTGACTGTCAGCTCACTGTAGAGCTTGCAGAGTATACACACTTAACATGGAAGCATGACCATACGTACAGCGTACGAGTGCAGTTTGTCAGTCACGGGTTCCTGTTCTCTGACAGTTTTCATATTTTGAAACCACTGCCTCACACGCGACACCACAGCGTACAATAACTGGTCACAAAGCACCACTGCAATACAGGACAATATGTCTACACAGCCAGTGCCCCAAAAATACTGTGATGTATGACCTCTAGCCTATGGCACTGCGTTCACGTATGTGCGCAAGAAAATAGCAGTCCAAACACTTACTGTATTGAATGTATACATCAATCTTTGTGGTGTTCCACACACGTGTGGTTTTGCTGATTTGAGAAACTCTTTGCCACACTGCAACACTGCTCCTGTATAAGTACATTAAAACACAATAGTTTTGTTCAATATTCATGTTTCCTATACTACATGTCTCTTCCACTACCAATTTCCCCTACTCTGGAAACATATCCCCCTTTGACCATCACGCAAATTCGGCAACATCATAGTAGCATAGTAGTAGTAGGATAACTATCAGCATATTCCGTGATGCAGTTCCAGTTTGGCTGTCACAGGAACTCAAAAACTAAACATTACACGATGTTTGTTGTTAAAAATTTTCTATGTATTTTTGAATAACAAACTGCACTATGGAGAGCTTGTGCAAAAAATTGTTGTCCTGTACAACCATTCAATATTACACAACCTCTACAGATTAATAGGATCATTCTATAAATGAGTCCTAACCAAAAATTTTGTGTGGCTTAACCATCCAGTGCTCAATTTTCATAACCATGTAAATTCCTGTGGG